AATGTTGAGAAAGATGGAAGGCAACAGGGGAAAAAAGGAAGACCCAATACGAGATGGACTGACTCCCCAAATTAACCACAGGGTTGAGTTTACTAGAACTGAGCAGGGGTGTTGAGGACAGGACTTTGGAGATTGCTCGTCTAGAGCAGTGGTTCTTAACCTTTGTTACTCTGATGTTTTTGAACTGCAACTCCCAGAAACCCCAGCCAGCACAGTTGGTGGTGAAGGCTTCTGGGAGTTGTAGTCCAAGAACATCTGGAGGCCCAAGATTAGGGACCACTGATTTAGAGCACATCCATTTGTATGGGTATGTGTTTTTCTTTTTCCAGAATCCCAAACTATCACTGTGTGAAGATGCTAGTTTCGTTATCATAGCAAGGCATCCTGCCACTTCCCAACACACCTCGTAAGTAACAGGGATCCATTCCCATTTCATCTTTTGGATTAAATGAGGCTCCTTTAAGAGACCCCCGAGGACTATTTGCCAGCCACCAGCTGGTGACATGATGGAGAGGAAAAGAGATAAAAGTCTGATTCTTCTACCTGCCAAAGAAGAAGCCGAGTTTTCCCAAAAGCGACATTGAGTGATGGAACATCACCTTCTGTTCTCCCGCAGTATCAGCAGCACCTTTTTTCCTCTCCTGACTTTTCCTAAAACTAGTTGGAATCAGAGACAGGCGCAACCCAGAAAAAATGCTGAATTGGAGTGGTTCCTAGTTTGTGGCTACCCACGAATTCTGCCTGAACGATGTCTGAAGTTGAGACTGTCCTACTTTGGGCTCATCCTGAGAAAGCAAGAATCTCTGGAAAAGACAATAATGTTGAGAAAGATGGAAGGCAACAGGGGAAAAAAGGAAGACCCAATACGAGATGGACTGACTCCCCAAATTAACCACAGGGTTGAGTTTACTAGAACTGAGCAGGGGTGTTGAGGACAGGACTTTGGAGATTGCTCGTCTAGAGCAGTGGTTCTTAACCTTTGTTACTCTGATGTTTTTGAACTGCAACTCCCAGAAACCCCAGCCAGCACAGTTGGTGGTGAAGGCTTCTGGGAGTTGCAGTCCAAAACAAAGTCAAGAACCAGTGAGGGTCACCAGAAGTTGGATGTTATGTCATTGGCAGCACAGAACCACCACATGTTGGTGGTGTTCTAGAAAACCAGCCAGGCGATTGCTGAACCCTAGCATTGAGAGAGAAACTGAAATTTCAGAAATGGGCAAGCATACCTAATTTCCTCATACTTGTTCCTTGCTTTCTCTCTCATGCCTCTTTTTTCCCCCACTGAGGTCTCTCAAAACTGTGAAAATACCTGTTTCCAGCCCATTGTGGTCAAGAAACTTCTACTTTCATAGAGAGGCTTCAGAAATTCTGTTTACCTGAATTTCCTGACATTTTAAATTATCTTTGCCCTTCTAAGTGTGCCGGAGATAAACACATCAGATGGGGAATACATCCCTCTTTGTTCCTCTTTCCCTCACCCGCCACACATAGACCAACATTTCTGAAGACAAAGCCTCTTCTGTCTCTGGTGGCTGTCCATGTGACCAACAACATTGATTTTTCTAACGTTCCGGATCACGCGGAGAACCTTCACAGACAGAGCAGGATCTCCTTTCCAGGCACCACTGGAGATGTAAGTCCTGCTTATTTCACTTTCACAGAGACAAATTATAAATTTCAACAATTATATCTCTGTTGGACGGATGATAGGAGTGTTTGTGCATTTTAATTTATTTTATTTCATTTGCATTTGGGCGGCAAACAGAAGGGTTTTGTGAAAAGAAACCTGGATTGTGACAGAAAACTTTGCATTTAGCACAAAAAAAACCATTGTCTTTTATAAATACTACAAGTTTTCTAATGCAAAATATATAAGGTTTTGTGCAAAACCCATAGGCTTGTAACTTGTTGCCGAGAGGCGGAGCAGAAAGGAAATTCCATAACTGCTCCCTACTATGTGGCCAGCTGCATGACTGTTCCCCAACTCAGGTGAGAATAAACATGTGACAGGAAGGCTACTTAAGTGACTGCTCTTCTGCTCGACATTTACACATTTATTTATTTTGTTTATTTATTAAATTTTTAAGAAGGCTACTTAAGTGACTGCTCTTCTGCTTGACATTTGCACATTTATTTATTTTGTTTATTAAATTTATACCCCGCCCATCTAGACACATGTCTACTCTGGGCGGCTAACAATAACACATCTCTTTCGTTTCCCAGATTTTCACAAATGCTGTTGCTGAAGGGGGAAAGTTGTGTTGTTGTTGGTTTTTTCTCATTCTCCTGTAACAGCACAAGAAACTATAACAGACAATAATCATTCGGGTGACAGGGTATTGGGATATGCCGATATGCCCTTTTCCGTTGACAATGTTTTGAAGTATTTTTTATCCTTCTCAGAAAACCAAGCGGAACAGAAATGATTCAGCAGGATTGGAGCAAGCGAGGTTCTTTCCAGACACTGCTAATCCACATTCAGTTGCCGTGTGTCTACACTCAACAGTTATAGCACTTTGATTCAATTTTAACTGCCGTGATAACATCCTATGGAATCCTGTAATCACCATCTTACAACTGCAGAGTTGGAAGAGACCCTACGAATCTCTGAGTCCAGCCCCAGAGTCAAGCAGGCACAGTGGGAATCAAACTCCCAAACTCCAGCTTCCGAAGCTAGATACCATGAGATATCCAGCAGTTCATAGTGTCCATTTTATTTATTTATTTGATTTATACTTCGCCCATCTAGACCGATGGTACAGAGTGAACACTACAGAGGAATGCTTCAAATTCTGTGCTGCGGTTCAGAGTGAACACTACATCTCTCTAGCAGAGAATCCTAAGTACCTCGCAAACCACCCATCATTCCATAGGGATGCAGCCATGGCAGTTAAAGTGGAATCAAGCTGCTATAATTATATCTTGTAGATAAGCCCTTAAAATGTCTGAATGGAGCTCCTGATTAGTGCCAGAAAAGGAACCAGGGGTTTTTTTTTGTTGCTCCTCCAGTTCATGTGTGTCTCCCCCCTGACACCACTAAACACACCCCTAATGATGCACACAGCCATCCTGATACAACACGACGCACGTCAATACGGATGGGTTTCTGTGCCTGTGGTCCTTCGACTAGGCTCTTTGAGCGAAGCTTCTGCAATGCACAGGAGTGACGTCAGTAAAATAGGTCATAAATATAATGTTGATGCAGATCTTACCAAGATTGCATGTTTGCAGTGTTTTTATAAACACCTTAGAGATGAGCCAAGGCGGGTTGGCAGAAATGAAAGGGACGGGCCTCTGCAAAACAGAGCATCCCCCGAGGTCTGTTTTTAGTTACAGAATTGTTATTAGTGAAAGCAGAACTCGGGGACACGGGAGGCATAGAATTGAGAAAACATTAAAAGAAATATCTCCAATTGACCTGTTTATTCACAGATCTGTGTGCTATGGCAAGAAAACACAGCATTAGAAGAAGCAAACCAATGGATGCACCAATCTGTCCACCCTCATAACTTTCTGTTTTCCCTCCTCTAAATCTACCTCTCCCTTGTCCCTCAACCATTTAGGTTCACTAAGTCTACCCGTGACTGAGTTTTCACCCTTAAGGTTCTTTCCAACCCACCCACCCCGCAAAAGACTCTTTATACGTCTGCCAGCCTTTGGGTTTCTCTAAGGCAACAAATCATGGGCATGGCTAGTACCATTTTTGGCCACCCAAGGATCTACGTGTAGAAAGCCACATCACTATGTACCCATCAAGATGACCCATCTTATAGCCGTCAGTGTACACTGATATCATAGTATGAAAACAGTAACCTTTAAATGTGTAGTCGTGGCTCTATAGAAAGGCAAGGGATGTAAAACCGCCTACGAGCAAACCGAGGACAATTTTGTAACTTTTTGTGATTTAGCGCTAGTGTGCGGTTTGGCATTTAAAGGCAAGAACAATTCATCAGGGTGAGCAAGGTGGTCTCCCCCAGGAACTACAACCCCCATCTCCCAGGACCAATGGTTAAGGATCATGGGAGTTGTAGTCCAAAACATCTGCAAAGTGCTGGTTGCATACCTTGGTAATAGATTGTGTCTCCTATAGACCTTTCTGAGAGGGAAACATCTGATTCAGCGCCAGTCCTTTGCGACCCATGTCTAATTAGAGACCAGGATCTCGGGTTTTCATGCCCAAGCAAAACACATTTATCTTCACAATCAGACCAGCTGCCCTAAAAGGGTTCATCCACAGCAGCTTCAGCTCAGGCATATTAGGAACGGTGACAGCAAGAGTTCATGGCACGCAAGCTTTCCTTGGTCATAGAGATCATTCTTACAAGGCGAGTGAACGGCTACATAGCCAGCAGTCCTACCCCTATTCATCCAGATGGCGAGTCTCATACAAGTCCTTGGAACTTACTTCTGAGTAAGTATGCATCGGATGGTTTTGCAAGTGCCTCAGCTGGGAAAGTAGGAAGTCTTCCCTTCAAACCTCACTGCAGTTATTGAGCTTATTAAAAGGCCTTAAACAAGCCAATATGGCCCCTCATAAACAACCACAACCTTTTGAGAATAGTAATATTGGCCACTTAATGGTTTCTTTCGGGGAGACAAGAGAATGTTAAGTGAAGAGTCGTGAGCACGCTTATAGTGGTTCTTTCTATCATTATATTCATTGTAATTTGGATCCTGGAATACCCCTCCCCCAGCAACCTCCCAGGAGGCTAAGATTGCTAAGCAGCTAGAGAAAGGGACCTGGCACATGCTCAGAGGCACTCTTGTCACTGTGACCCTTTCTTGACGTAGTTCTGGCTGAGTCCTGCACCGGGAGAGAGCGTTCACCCAAGCCAGCCTTGATGGTTCTCCCATCTGCTCGATGCAGCCACGGGTCCTACGTGACCTTCTCCATCCTGGATTCGGCAGAGCCACCACAACACCCACACACACACACATTCGCTTACCTGATGATCCTGGATTCGGCAGAGCCACCACAACACACACACACATTCGCTTACCTGATTATCACATACATGACGGAGCAGTTGCCGATGAGCCCCACGATGCAGACAATGGAGTAGACGATCACGATGGTCACCTTGATGCCCATGGGAAGGAAGCCGTCGGCGGTCCCATTGTGGAACCAGTCCCCCAAGCTCAGGTTCCACAGGGAAGAGTCGTTGACCAGCTTCCTCATATAAAGGAGGTCCCCCGCTTGGGTGTGAAAGAAGGGATCCATCCTGAATACACCACGACAATGGAGGTAACAAAGCCTCTGGAGTGGCAAGAGGGGGAGGGGGAGGACACACAGTAAATAAGGATAACCCCGTTTCCCTGCACAGTCCCACACCGGGGAGGGGGGGAGGCAAGGTTTTGGGAATTGCAGACCTCATCTGGGCATTATCAGTACATATGCAAGGTGAATGAGATCATAGGATTCCTGTTGGTGGCATGAAGATGCAGGCATGCTTGGCTCGGCCACCTCTTCCTGAAGGAGCCAGAGTGAATGCAGCCATTCCACACACGCCCCTTTGCACTAAGGATGAGGTTGCAAATCGCACCCCCCCCCACATCCCCGCCACCCCGTTCCCAGGGCTGGCAGCCTCGTTCAACAGCAAACCTCTCTTCCATCCTTGCATGCCAAGAATATCTATTCTCTTTGCTTGCAGCTGCAGGAGAATTCAATTCTTCTTTCCCCCCCCCCACCTCCATGCACCTTGCAATGCTGGCAGGTGAATTATCTTTGCATGCAGAACGGAGTGCGTGCGTGTGTGTGTGTGGCGTGGGGAAAGAGGGGCTTAACAGCAAGCCATTCTTGGGATCGCGAAGAATTTCTTGCATTTCCCAGGAAAACCGCCTTTAGGCGAGTCCCCCCACCCTAAGGACTCCGGCAACCCCAGGGGCAACTTGGAAGGAGCGCGCCCGCCGCCTCCTTACCGCTGCGGACGCTCGGCTGGAGAGCCGCACGAGAGGGAGAGAGAGAGGCGCCGATCCGCTTCTGGAGGCGCTTGTCTTCTTCAGCACCGCCGCCGTCCAGCCACGGATGGCGTCCCTCGAGCGAGACGGAGCTGCTCCCGGCGGCGGCGGCGCCTTCGCCCTCCTGGCTCTCTAAAGCGGCCGCCGGAGGAAGGAAGCTTCAGCCCAGATTCGGAGGCGATGCGGAAGAAAAAGCCAACTTGCAAAGGGAGGGGAGCGATGGCAGACGAGGCGCACGCGGGCACGCGCATCCCACACCGCGCCCGCGCCTGCGCCCGCGCCCCCACTCCTAACCTGAGTGGGAGGGCAGGAGGAGGAGGAGGAAGGGAGATCGCCTGGGAAGACCAGGTTGGCTAGGGAGCCAAGGGGAAGCGAGCCGGCAGTGGCTTCGCTGCAGACCGTCTGGCCGGCCGGCTGCGCCTCTGGCTAGCTCAGCCGGGAGATCGCCTGCTGTCCAACACCGGGGGGGGGGAGCAGCATTATGTGTGCGTCCGTGTGGACGCCAGTGGGGCAAGGGGGCTTTGGAGGCGTCCCCACACACGCGCGCGTACACCACTGCATCCCCTTGCTTCCCATCCCCTGGGGGATTTGGGCTCAACGCAGACATCACCTCTGGGCCTTCCCCCCCCCAGGGCAGAGCAAAAGTTGGCGGAGTGGTACCCCTAGGTGAGAGTGGGGTGGGTGGGAAAGGGCATCATTCCCGATGGATCAGCCGGGCCAAAACGGCCACAGACCCACCTACTTCATAGGCACATCTCTTCTGCCCTGCAAAGGTGCCCTTTAGGTTTCCGGAACCCGGCCCAGTCTGGTCTCTCAACACCCAAGGGTGGAAGGATGAAGGTCTGGAATGAATTCGCCTCTCTTCTGACTTGGCTCCCCTCTCTAGAGTTTCAGCTTTAGTGCTGGAGGAGTCACAAAAAAAGGCAGAGCCAGGCCAAATTTTCAAAGCCAGGGGGGGTCACCCAGTTCAACACTCAAAGGAGGGCCACAAGGATGATCCGGGGACTGGAAACTAAGCCCTAGGAGGGAAGATTGAAAGCACTGGGCATGTTTAGCCTAGAAATGAAGACTCAAGGGAAAGACAAAAGCACTTTTCAAAGACTTGAAAGGTGGAAGGGCAGGATCTGTTCTTGAGCATCCCAGAGTGTAGGACACATAACAATGCGCTCAAGCTACAGCAGGCCAGATTTAGGTGGAATATCAAGAAAAACTTAACTGTTAGAGCAGTACAACAATGGAAAAAAATTACCTTGGGAGGTGGTGAGCGTGCCAACACTGGAGGCATTCAAGAGAAAATTGAACAGCTACTTGTCATAGCTACTTTGATTGTGGATGCTTGCGTTGAGCATGGGGTTGGACTCGGTGGCCTTACAGGCCCCTTCCAATTCCATGATTCTTGGATTCTATAAGCCACTAAAATGGGAGAACTACATCAAAATTTCAGAGTAAAGTGTCACCTGCTAAGTGTTACCCAGTTAAACACTGCAAAAAGCCAAGGCTGGGGCCAGAAAAGAAGGGGGGGGAGCATGGACCTCAAGGCACCCCAACCATCCCGGTGGTCATCCCTCTTAGAGCAGGGACTGAATAGGCATCAGGCTTCCTGGACTGTATTTGTCTGGCTTATAAATTTATTTATTTCCTGATAGAAGAACCAGATAGCTCCGTGACTTAGCTACCTGGTTGGGAGTTCTACTCCCCACTGTGCATCCCAGAAGAGTCAGCCTGTATTATTTCTTTCTTTATTATTTATTTAAAACAGGACAAGGAGTGGATTTTCCTCCCCCTTCTCCAAGTTTCCATTAGACAGCATGTGAAAGCTCCACCTGTAAAACCTGTGTCTTTTCCCCTGGTGAAGAAAGGGGTCCGAAAGTCCCATTCTTTGGGTTCTAGTATAGAGCAATATTTTATTTTTACATGATTCTTGCAAACACAGTGAACTTTACAAAGTTATACATTCCTCGGTTAAAGCAACAACAACAACAACAACAACAACAACAACAACAACAACAACAACAACAACAACAACAACAACAACAACAACAACAACGTGTTATCAGGTCAGTTCTGGCTTACGGCAACCCTTTTTCAAGGTTTTCTAGGTAGAGACTACTCAGAAGTGCATTACCATTCTCTTCCACTGGGGGCGCTGTGGGACCGTGCAGCTTGCCCAAGGCCACCCAGGCTGGCTCTGTTCACAGGAGGCACCGTAACCAAACTCCCAGCCTCTGACTCTACAGCCAAATAGCTAAGCCCCTGAGCTATCCAGCCAACTTTTAATAATAATCCTGTGTCATCAAGTCTTATGGAAACCCTTTTCAGGATTTCGTAGGTAGAGAATACTCAAAGGTTGTTTGCCATTCCCTTCTTCTAAGGGCCATCCTGGGACTGTCCAGCTTGCCCAAGGATACACAGGCTGGTTTCACTCCCAGGAGGTACAGTAGGGAATCGAACTCCCAGCCTCTAGCTTCACATCCAGATTCCTGAACCAATGAACTATCCAGCCAGCGGGAGCAGACACAACATAAATGGCCAATGAACAACAAAGTAAAGTACCTGCTAATTTCCTGAAAAATTACACCAACTGTTGTGTTTTTAGTGGGCACTTGACAGACAATGTATTGCATACCAAGCGGCTCTCCAAGATCTCAGGCATATGCTTTTTCACATCATGTTGTCGTTTTTCCGTGGCATCAAGTCAATTTGGACTCACATCAACCCTTTACAGAGTTTGCTATGTAGAGAGTACTTAGAAGAAGTTTACTCTTCCCTTCTTCTGGAAAGGTGCAACTCGCCCAAGGCCACTCAGGCTGGCTCTGCTTTGCAGGAGACCCAGTGGGGAATAGAACTCCGGACCCCTGGCTCCCCAGATAGATACCTAAACCACTGAGCTATCCAGCAGCTAAATCATCTTTAAGGCTCCAAAGTATAATACAGATACAAATGCATAATATCACTATAGAGACTCCCCTTTCCAGCACCCCTCCTGCAGAAATATATTGAAATTCTAGGGGATTAAGAGCCTAAATTATTCTCCTCGGGAGGAGCAGCTCCTCCCCTTTGCAGCTCCCCCCCCCAAAAAAAAAAGTTTAGAGCCATAGGCTCCTTCCTAAGATTTCCCCAACTGCTGAGCTGATCCAAATGGTCTACAAGGGTTGAACACACTCACGCAAGCACAGAAAAAACAGGCGATCCTTTAAAAAGACACCAATGCCTTCCCTAATCTCTAAAAGCCCTGCACCAAAGCAGCAACCATCACCATTTTATACAAGGTGAATTATTTGCATCAAAGTGTTATTTACATTATTAGAGTGCATGGTTTTGTTTAATGTCTCCCACCCCGCTCCCAGGAAATAATTAGACCACACAACCCTTCTATAGAGATGGGGTTTGTGCTGGTTTGTTTAGTGGCTGAACAAGTGTTTGGTGTTTCCAAGCCCCATCTCTTTTGGGGGGGTGCCCACCCAGAGGCAGTGCCACATCTGCCCTGCCCTGCCTTGCCTGCTCCTGGCACAGCCTCTAAATGGGCAGGGCTTGGAATCACCACTGAACACCTGTTTGGCCAGCAAATGAACTGGCATGAACCAGGTGTCCGTGCCCATGTCTACCCTCTCACTCTTATCTCTTGCTGCTATTCAACTCCCCTTCTGAAAGGGTTCAGGTGTTCGGCCTGGAGGGCTCAAAGGGCGAATCATGCGACAAAAAGGGCAACAATATGGTTTATATCCAGGTCTTGTGCTCAATGTGAGCAGGCAACCGTAGCTTCCCAGGAAAAAAGGAATTGCAAGAAGGTGAGTTGTTATTCTTACTAGGAATAACAATTGTTTGGGGCCTGGAACGAGGGACCAATGTGGGAAAGAAATACATAATTCTTTGACTCTTGGATATGGTCACCCCTGAGCCTGGGATGTTTCTTGAACATAAATAGGACCTAGAGTGTTCTTAGCCCTTAAAATGACCAAAAACTGTTCCTATGATAGATAGTTCTGTGCTTTAAATATCTGGCTGCAGAACTAGAGATTGGGAATTCAATTCCTTACTGTGCTTCCTTAACAGGGGCTGGATTAGATGGTCCATAAACTAGAGATTGGGAATTCAATTCCTTACTCTGCTAACTTGACAGGGGCTGGATGGGATGGTCCATATCCCTTCCAGATCTGCAGTTCTAAGATGATGACAACAGTTCTAAGATAACAATGATGATGACAATGATGATGATGAGATACCACACACTCATTTTAATGATGATGATGACAATGATGATGATGAGATGCCACACACTCATTAAG